TCTCTCTCTCTCTCTCATTCTCAATCGTTTCTTCCTTCCTCCTATTCTCTGTTTTCCTCCTCCTCGTCTCTCTTTCCACCTCGAATCGCGCTCGTCACCCACCACTCCTCCCTAACGTCCAGCTGTCCCCACATTTGCTTCCTCCCTCTTTCCTATTCTCTTTCTATTTATCCTTCTCTCTCTCTTTCTCTATCCTTCTCGCTCGCGGATTCCTGGCACGCGTACACACATATAGTAGGATCGGAACGTGTGTACCATACACATTGCGTGTCTTCGTCCGTTCTGTTCGGGCCAAGGGAGAGAGAAAGAGGGAGATGAATCGGTCGGTTCGCGCATAAACCCATCGAAGAATATGTGTTATGTATACACAAACAACGCGTGGGATGGACGGAACTGCCTTTGTGTGTTTACCGCATTATTGAGAGATATGACACGCTCCCGGAAGTCCATCAGATCGTAGCCGTCGTTATCGAAAATCAGCGGTCGCGGAAGATTCACTGCACGTCACCACCGGCGCAGAAACGGATTCGGCTTCCCATCCTTAATCCTCTTCAACCGCATCCATTAGCGTGACTTTAACGTAGCAATTAAATGGAAATGTTGTTAGAGAGATGTTTCGTATCATCAAGCTTTTCATAATGACGATGAAAATTCAAAAAGGACGAGTGGACGATTTATCAAATCGACTTGTTCGTTGTTGAAATTCGTTGTTGAAATTCGAGTTTTCCCCTATTTGCACGGTTTTAATTGGGAGGAGGAAAAAAAAAAAAAGGGAGAGGAAAAAAGAAAGAAAAAAAAAGGAAAATTGTTTGAATACGCACACCAACGACGAGACTGATTTATCGACACCGCAAAATGGAATTCGATAGTATTAGTCGCGTATATAACTCAAAGACGTTATACAATTACAATACTATTTCTGAAAGTCCACCAAGTTTCCTGTTGTCTCCAATGGAAACTTGTACAAAGCTGGTGTGCTCGCTGGGGACCAGCTTATACCGCAGTCACGTCACCGGTAATACGGCACAAAGTCGGTCCGAAGCCGAAAGCTCGCCATTGAAGAATATCAACCAGCCCTGTGGAAGACATAATCCTTCCCGCAAGGTTTAACGTCACTCTTTGGATTAACGAAATTTATTTCTTTCAAAGATGAAAGATCGATGCGACTCATGAATTCCTCTGTTTACGCTTAGGTTTTTCACGTACATATATTTTCGATCGGTCGGTAAACCGCGTTTCGATCGTACCGATGAAAGGAAGAAAAATTCATCGCGACCAACGTATACGCGTAATTAGGTACGAGTCGCATGGAACGAGTAGTATGGGACGGAATTGATCCGACTTTACTACGAGCGCCTATATCGTTGCCTATACGTTGATGCAAAGGATGGGGAATCGAGATTTTTTTTTCTTTTTTTTTTTTNTTTTTTTTTTTTTTTTTTTTTTTTTTTTTTTTTTTTCAGTTGACACTACGATTTGTACGAGAGCAACAGGCAACTTTCATTAAGCCTTTTCGAGCCAGTACACTCTCCTCTTGTGTCTATCTCCTCTTCTTTCTCCCTTTCGCGTATCCCTCACTCTCGCTGCGTAATCGAGATTCGTAAAACACAGACTGGCTTAAAAACGCATCTATCTGTTCGAAAGGGAGGATCACGTTCTTTGTGCGATAAAAATATTTTTCAAACGTGTTCCATAAACAAACGTTACTACTTCGATAAGATTCGATATATATATATATATATATATCTTATCCGTATAAAGCATCGTTTCAAATTCCTAGAACGATATATATTACATATGTGTGTATATCGATGGAAAAATAAAAATCGCGTTCGTACTTGGGGCGAAATGCATTTAACCGACAAGTTCGAAATTCGTCCGTATTCCGGAAAGAGTTGCCGGAAGCGTATTGGATATCCTATGCGCTTTAGTCTCGTTAGCATTCTATCCTTTAATTCCGTCCCGTTGTTTTCATTTCTTTTTCTCTGTCGCAATTTCTACCGATCTCTATCGAACCACGTGCCTGTAATCGTTGAACGCTCCCATTCCATCACCCGATCCCGAAGCTATCTTCGATACGCTCCAACTCTCCCTTGACTCAATTCCCCTTTTAATTCCTTTAATTTCGCACGCTGTCCCTGTCGCGTTAACAAACGCGTGCTGCATTACGTTACGTCACGTTACGTGACCAAATTCGTTCATCGTCGATAAAGCGTGGCAAAATCGCGATAAGAGGCTCGCATATGCATCGCATGATTGACACCAACGTCCAGATTACCAGATGAATATATTACTTCGATTCGCGATACACTGGCCGCCGGGCCGGCTCGATACTCGAGTAACGAATACTCCTCGATATTCCTGTCGGCGCGTTCGTGCGTTCCGAATTTAAATACGTTTCGTATTTTCCAACGTTCAAACTCGATCGAATTAAATCGTATCGAATTGAAACTTGCACCGCGTAAATAACCAGCCAATGATTTTAACGATTTTGCGCTTGATTCCTCGTATTACAGATTCGTTTCTACTAGTACTAACGGTAGCGTTGCTATAAAAAATGTCCGATCCGCGCTCACAATGCCACGTATCGTACGAGTGAAAGTTATTTCTCCGTCCGTGTGTAGATCGCATCCATTCTCGAGTATACGATCGAGTCGATTGTGTCTGTTTACGGTACGTGATACGGTACACGAGTAAACGGACAGTTTTTTTCCATTCCCCGTCAACCTGTTTCTCTTCGCGTGTAAATAAATATGGAGGAAAATATATGCAGCGACGTTCGTAGAGAAAATATCAACTGCTTGCTATGGATTTTTATTCCATAACTCTTATTTAAAGTTATTCCTTTCCTTCCTTCTCTTCGTTCTCATTTTTCTCATTTTTCAATCGCTCTTCCTATCGTCGCACGATCGTTCGCTTATACCGACTTAACTTTCCTTTTTTACCCTTTTTTACCAACCGAGCGAAACGACTCGATTTTTCCTCGCACGGTAATCGATAATCCCTCAAGATGATGATGCCAGCCGCGTGTCTAGGAAAATCAGACCTCGTTTTAACGATACGATGGATCGAGTCGAAGGATTGAGCGCAGAGGAAGACGATCGTTACATCTGGATCGTATAACGGATTACACAGGGTACACACAAAGGTCACGATCGAACGATCGTAAACAACCGCGCGACTCTTTTTTCTTAATTCCAACTCTATCTATCCTTTTTATCGTTATGCGAGAAAGGTAGATACTTAAGCGTCGCGTATAAACGTTTACCCAAGGTAACGGAACACATTCGTGTTACGGATAAAATGGTTACAATTTTATCGCGGTAACACCCATTTCGAACTTTGCCTTCTTCTCTGTATCTCTACAATTTTTCTTTCCTTTCTTTTCAACGATCGTTCGCTTCGTTTTCTTTTTTTTTTTTTTTTTCTATTTTGAAACACCATATTCTTTCGTTATCGCTTCGGAAAAAGCGAAACAGGAGAAGAAAAGTTAATCCCGTTATTCTTTAACTACATAATATAATAAAAGTCGAGCGATGAATGGAGTGATGAATTCGAAGAGAAACGCGCGAATGTACACGTATATACGATCCATATACTCCGTGTCATCTATGAGGTACCGAGGAGACAAACATTGGTTCTCGACTCCCTCCGACGATTCAATATTTGTATTTCTCGGATGAAAGTGTATCATCGTGCGTCAATCCATCAAAAAGGACAAACGGTCGCCAAAATGTACAATGTATATATCTCGAATCGATCGATTACCAGCTAGATTTTACATGATTCTTCAATTTTTATCTCTCCATCCATTTTTAACTCTCGATAATTAACGAAACACGTTTTCGTTCGTTGATTCAACGAAATGTTACTGTTAATCGAATTTCTCCGAAACGCGAAACGAATTATAATATATAACATTCGTGGAAATTAACCATAAAAATTAATTTGCAAGAAATTAAAAATGGAAAAAAGAATCGAAACGGATCCAAGATCGGATTCATGACCGTACGTATATATACCACGTTTGGAACGAAATAATATGCTCTATGCGTACACGATGGTAAACATCAGGCTAATTGATTTACATCGGTCAGACACAGATTCGACCATTGAATTGATCTTCCTCGGAATCGACGACGAGCCATTTATTGTGATTTACAATTCAAAGATATTCGAAAAAAACGTAAACTTCTGGAAAAATCAATACACAAAAAATTTACAAAAATAGACGAGATTAATCGATTCGATCGAATATCTGAACGTGTTAAAATAATAATATTCCAATTGATTAATAATTCATCGACCATCGTTTTGATATATAGTTATATGCTGGGAATTAGAAATCGCAATGACATCGTCTTGCATCGTTGGAATATTTCAAATATATAGGACGTATGCGAGCCACGCGCACACCAGAGAAGAATACACGTTATTACGATCGTTGCGCAACGAACTTTCGTGGTTAATGGATGAAAAGTGAAACTGCGTAACGTTGCGGTTAAGTAGTAAAAACCAGGGACGAGAAATATTCAACGCTTCAATGAGAATTCAGCCGATATAAAACGCCGCTTGAACAAAGTTTCTCGTTTAGTTTATATATATATAGGGGATAAAGCTATCTATTGTAATACAGTGAGATTGAAACCGGTCGAGACGCCGGAATAAAATATAAAATATGAATCTAGCTTATTATATACATGTTATATAGTATACTTTCCCGCTATTTGTATCCACCATTATTGCTATCCTCGCTTCTGACGTCATGGTCGTAGACGATCGTTCCTCCTTATTCCTCTCTCGATTCTTTTCATTCTTATATATATATATACCACTCTCGTGGTTCTTCTCTCGAACGCTTTGATGCAAATAAATAAGATTCGGTTAGTTGGTGAATTCTACGAATTCGATATCTATAAAATTTCTCGTATAGAATTTTATCAAATCGAAACCACCAGGTTTAATCAGAATTATTTTAGAGAAAATATAAAAATCGTACATTTCGAAAAACAAATTTTATTACGACGTACAAGTGTATTATAAAATACTGTTTTTATATATATATATATATATATAACGGATTAATCGGAATAGTTGCTGGCGAGTTCGATATCTTTATCGAAAGATAAAGGGACGTTAAATATTGAATATCATCGATATTCGGCTATTCTAAACAGATCCTCCTGCTGTTCCATATTTTTTCTCTTTATAGTGTGTATCCAGCATCCAGTTGTTTTCTTCTTAGCCGTTTCCATTATCCCGAAGCCTTACGAAACTCCGGCATACTGCTGCACTATCTTCGACCACTCCTTTGGATAGGTTCGTTGAATGTGTGAAAGGACCTTCTTGATCTGTCGTGTTTCCTCGGGGCTACATTGCGGGCAGGCGCCTCTCAAAACCAGTGGTGCTAAACCTGGATAACAACGGCCGGGTTAAATCGAATTCTGCTGGTAACTTTATAGAAATTTATCGGCAAACTCTTCGAGGGAAACTCGGGACGGCCCTCGAAATACGGAAATAAATCCGATCTAAACAATTCGATGACTCCTCGTCCGAAACACTGCACATTTTTACCGTAGGATAAAAATTTTTTTTCTCTTCAATCTCGATTAAAATCAATTTTATCTTTTCGAATCGAAGGAGATAAAATATCGATTCTTTCGTTTTTTTTTTTTTTTCATAATTCGATCAAACTCGATTAATTCGTTCGAATACTGTACGCAATATTTACTTTTCAATCTTCTCCCGACCGGGTCGCACGGAGCTTCGCCCAATGCGCACTTCAGCTGTCTTCTCAAGTAACGTTGGTCGCTCAAGGCCATATTTAATTGCTCGTCGGAGACCCGCGATCTTCCACTCTGTCCTTCTTCCGTTTCTGCCGCAACGGTGTAGACGAACAGAGCGCAAGCGATCAACAGCGCCTGAAATTATAATTACACCAGATAAACTAAATGCTACAAAATAAACTCGAAGTAAAGAAATTTTAAAAACGAAAGAAAATTTCTACGCGTCGAATCGTAGGAAGAAAGAACTAAAATATTTCCATCTGTTAAAAATAGACTCGAATATATTCGAGAAAGAAGGGTGGATAACAGATAGACGAAGGAAATTGGCAGTTGTAAGGCGGCAAAGGTCGGAAACACGAGTATGCACATAGAGTGGAATGGCGGGAAGGGGTTAAGGTTAGGTGCAGACATTCGCTGCCCTAGCGAAACGCTAACAAAGCTAACACGGGTTAGGAAGCAGTAACCATCGTGAGTAACGAAGGCATCCGCGTACCTACAACTTCCGTTTGTTTGCTTCTGCACGCTCTCCCTTACGGCTCCGTGTTTCCTCGCGCTTTTCCACGATATACATCGATCGATTTTCGAATTTTCTTTTATTTCTTTTATTCACGATCGTTATTTAATTCGAAATGAAGATTGGAAAATTATGTAAATACAGAGGTAAATTAGTTGCAAGTTTTTTGCGAGAATCTTAGCTTCGATTCGTTCTGTAAAATATATGGGATGAAGAGGAATTTACAACGGAAAATAGTTTAAATCGAAGGACTACTTGACTCGATGAATATATTTTTGCGATAGGTCTTTCTATATTGACGACCCTTTTCTTTTTTTCTTTTTTTTTTTTTTTCTTTTTTTCGTTCTTTTGACACGCGCCGTGACGAATATTTCAAAGTTCCATTTTATTTTCGCAGCGTTGTTTGACCTCTCGATTCCACATACATACACATATCTCCTAACGATCGAACTCGTTTTTAAACAACTCGCGTCACAATTCGCCAACCTTCTTTTTTTCTTTTTTTCCTTTCTTTCTTTTTTCTCTCTCTCTCTCTCTCCCTATTCGGCTTCGTTTCGATTTTCCCAATTAAACCACCTAAATTACTCGCGATCCTCGAGAACACTTTGAACGCAATTAAAAACTGGCGCGTTATTATTCGTACGATTTTTCTTCCCCCCCTCCTCCGATCCTTGTAAATATGGTTGAAAAAAGATATCGGGTCGAAAGGGTTGCCTCGTTCGTTCGGATCATTGCGGTCGATACTTGGTCGAATACTTGGGAAATCGGATCGATGGTGGCGGAGTTTCGATTTTCGTATAGGCGTGCTAATAATCGCGACGATTCGGTAAATCATCACGGTACGAGGGTATGTATACGTATACACGGGCCAGGGATGATTTGTGGATTGGATGCGGGCTTCGGGTTACGTGCACGCAAACCGCTTACTTCCGCAAATCGATGCGGATTATAAGAATTATTGGGCCGCTCTAAATGGCAAATGGGTGCGATATAGATTTTATTGCTGTCACGTTGACTGTAACGTAACGTTGTGTACGTTGTAGGTTATTACATCCGAGCGAGACATCCTGACGATCCTCCTCCCTCCCCTCCACCCGTGAATTCCGCGCGAATCCTACGTATGGGCCCGTTAATTATCGTCACGGTCTATGAATGATAATTCACCATTTAAACGGGTTGCCCGGAAAACTCGCGCGACCGTTTGTCGCCCTAATATTCCGTTGCAATTCGCGCAAGCGCGAAACCGCTTGCTCAAACTCTCACGATAAATAAATAATTTATCGTTTGTGTACGGTGCTGGCCGAAATACCGCGTTGTTTCCAGTTATTAAATTAATTTACAATCGCCTGGTCTACTCTGTGTAACAATTATACGATTCCGCGATTTCCATACTCGGTGAATCGATCGAAGGAATTACAAATCGAAGGCGTTACGAGATCATCGTATTATCCCGTAAACGTATCTCGGTCGGTAACAAAATTCGAAGGAAGAGGATAAGGAAGAATCGTTAATCCATTTTTCTTCCATAAATTTTTAACAAAAGATGCGCATCACTGTTTATTCAAGGTAATTGAGTCTTTCGTTCAACTTATTATTCCGTGCAGCACGCCATTTCCATACCGTGTACGTAAATATACAAGATTGCGACACGCATAAGTTATAACGTAAGCAATGCTGTCGGTAAATAGTTTTAAATCAGTTTGCTCGTCCTTGGAGCTGCACTACGTGCCGGAATTTAATCATTTTTTATCGGAAACTGCGAACAAGAAAATGGTAAAATCGATCTGGTTCTCACTTACTATTTCGCTCGATTTCCGCTTTCCTTCGTTTCCACGGGAAATAAACATATAAAAGTTATTTTTTTTTTTTTTAGATCGCACGAAATATTATATAGTAAATAAATATGTATCGTAAATACAAATATGTACTGTTCACTGTTGGAAAGAAGTCTCGTGGGACGGAGCAAGAGGAAGATTCTTCGCTAGGACCGTCTATCCCCATTTCAGACGCTTTGTTGACAATCCTGACACGCTACATAATATAGTAGAAGAACTATAATTTGAATATTTAAAATCGTAAAAATTATTTTCATTTATGAAGTTATGTTAATCTATCTAAAACTGGCTGAAGTATTTTTAAAACTATTAATTATTTTAATAGTATGTTTAGCTTATTCATATATACGATTATTATCTTAATTACTTGAATACAAAATTACATTTATAAATTAAACTAATGTTACAAATAATTAGCCTATATATATTATTAGAGAAAAATAACAAAATTTTTATATTATATCGATACTCTGGATTAATGCATCGAGATGTAAAGATACGTCGATTAATATATGTGACGAATACCATGGAATAGAAATAAAAATGCATGTGAAAATAAATATTTCCTTTACAAATTAACCAATCAAACCGCATTCCTTCTTTTCACCAATGAACTTGGATCGTACATCGAGAGAGAAGTGAAGGAATGCACTCGCGCAAATATCTAGTCCGTATCCTTTTTATAAAAATAAACAAAATAATTGAAAATTTATTGATCCTTTAATATCATAAGGATTTCTCCTGTTCAATATAATTTGTCATTGCGATTATTATCACTCCCACGTATAGTATATTTAAATCAGATTACGTTTCAGAAAATTGATATTTGATTTCTATGTTACGTGTAACGACACTTTCGTATTACGTAGAAATTATCTAACGCGATCGTAATGCTGATGTAACGAACGCTCGATGGAGAAAATCGATCGATAAAAAAGAACGTGAAATCGATACGAGGAAACAAACTTTTAAAAAAAAAAAAAAAAAAAAAAGAAAAAGAAAAAAATACGGATGCAAAAGTAGAAAATAAAATCGCAAGTATGGGTTCGTACGTAGTAGTAGCATCGAAATCACTGATAATGGGCCGTTTAAACGTTATGCGATCTGTATTCGCGATACGTGGGTTTGATCGGGAAAAGTTGTAGATACGTGATACCCTTGTAAATATTCAAGGTAAAAGGACGATCAAGGCGAGGATATCGAATTCGCTGGTCGCGTACGGAGGCAACCATCCCTACGGGAACACCGAGCAAGTCCCAAGGCGACGACAGGAATGGGAAGAGAGAGAAGAGAGAGAGAGAAAGAGAGAAAGAGAGAGTATCCCTCCGGATACTGCGAAACTTTAAATCACCGAGCGTACGTGTACACAGAGAGGTGCGCGTGTATCTACCTGTTGCACGTTCGTCACTCACTCACCTTGATTGCCGAAGCCATGTCGGGGGTGTTGGGGGCGTGCACGATGGATTTCCTGATAACGGCGTGAAGAAAAATGGTAGAAAATCGTCGAAGAAACGAAGAAGTGGTGGCGGGAGGGAGAGGAGAACGAAGTAAAAGCGAAATAAAAACTTATACGATCCTCTCACCGCAAAATCTCGGGACGCACTGGCCCGAAGATACCGTCCGTGGCCTTTCCTCCCCTTCTTCGCCCGATAAATACGAAAGTGTGTGTACCGAGCGACGACGCTACGATGATATATATCGTTGGCTCTCCGTCTCCTCGGCCACCTCGCTCGTGTAACCGGCCAGTTACGATGGTAGGGGAAACCGAGACGTGCGTGAGTGTGCGCACAGTACAGGTCGCACTTTTCCTTCCTTCGTTCTCGCTCTTCCACTTTGCTCCTTAATTTCCTGCGAGTCGTTGCGCTTTCTTTCTCTCTTTCTTCCGCTCGATCGCGCTCCAGTCGCGTCGCTCCACGCGCCACTTCACGCTCGCGTACGCTTTCCTTTCTTCCTCGAACGTTTCACCTCCTTCTCCACCTTTGACATTTCCCACCAACCGAAAACCGAATCTTTTCCATCTCTTTTTCTCGTCCCACTCTCGAGCAACGGAGAACCCTGCTTTGCTTCGCCTCTCTGCCTTTGTTTCTCCTCCCGCCTCGGTCGACTTTAACGATCGGTTCGTCAATTTCGGGAAAAAGAATTCGTCAACTTTTGATTAACATCGATCGTGACATATAACGATAATCTCTTTTTCTCCTCGTCAAAAATATTCCTTCGTTATCGATCTTTCAATGCGAGTTATCATTTCAAAAGCAAAAAAAGACGAGTTTTTTTTTTTGCAACGAGACAAAGATGAGCGTTGTTGGAAACGATCCGACTTTCGATTTTTCATCAAAATCGGGCGAAACGAAGTCGGGCGAACGACAGGGAGAAAGAGAAATTCCGATAAAGCCGCGGATTTAACGGGCGATCGAGCCGACGGCGCAACCGGCGCCACGTTGGAACGTGTGTGTCTGTCCACGACGATAACAGCCGGCGAATTGGTGTGAAAAAAATCGGGTAAAAAGAATAACGATAGGGGTGATCTGCCGTAAAATACGATTAAGCTGCTCACCGAACGTAGCAGAGGGAGAAGGAAAGTGTAACGAGATACCGATACAAGACGGAGAGAGAGAGAAAGAGAAAGAGAAAGAGAGAGAGAGCGGATCAGCTAAAGTCCCGACCCGCTATCGAAACGAAACGAAACGAAGTGATACGAACGCAGCGACCGAAAAGAGAGATTGTGCCTTGTATCGATAAAGATTACACAGGCAGAATTCATTCGTCGATCTACTTTTCGATCCGACGGGATACCGAGATTCGAAGCTTTTGCGGCATCCAGAGAATTTCCTCCTCCCGTCTACGCACCTTTTCCCTATCCCTATTTTTCTCTCCCTCTACTTTTTTCATCTCTCGGAGAGTCACCTCTCCATCATCCGATCTCCCTCCTTTCTTTTTCCTCTTTTCGGTGATTCGTTGTCGAGCGCCGTTTGAATAGACGGATTTCGCTTTTCGAGGCTCGATTCGATTCGATCGAGACGAAATTCATCGTACGATCGAACGATACGAAGAAAAGAGAATCGAGGGATTGACGCGGTTGACGAGTACGTCAGTTGACGTACTTCCTCGTCGATTTTCGTTTAAAATTATACACCGATCCGTGTTTGACAAGACGAAATAATTTTCACGTTTCGAGAGATAGAAATATCTTTGCAAAAAGAAAAGAAAAGAAAAGAAAAGAAAGTCTTTGTATGTAGGAAATAATTCGGCAAACTGAAATGTTTGGACATCGAAGTATCGAGTTTCCAAAGTCACGCGTCACGCGCACCGGTGACTGAAATTCAAGACGAAATTCAGCCATTGTTTACATCATCTCGGAAGGACACGCGTATACGAAATTCCTTATATCGACAATCCTTAACTGACAAATAACGTGTATCGATCTATCCTTGTCCATTACAGACGAAAATCAAGATTCTTCTTTCTTTGATTCCTCACGTATTTGGATATTTCAGTCAAAGATTTACAAATTTCTTCTTTTCTTACATTAAGGGAGAAAAGAATCGATTCTCGTTAATTTTGTTTGAACCATGGCAACGTTACGGATCACCGTTTCTTCACTTTCACTGCTTTCGCCGAGCATGGTTAAAACAGGAAACGACGACGTAACATCTCATCTTGTTTTGCTCGAAGTTGTTATTACAATAATTGCATAGCGTAAGATTCGCTTCGTTTCGATCGAATACATTCTTCATTCAAGCAATCTTCTTTGCGAATCGTTATTATAAGAGCAATAATAACAAAATGATGAGTTCACGTTCTAATTTCTCTTTAAATAAATTTCAAAGATCTCAATTATTTATAATTGATATATGTATTCGAGATCGATATGTTTATCTTCTATAACGTTATTGATAAAAAAGAAGAAAAAAAGAATAAATATTTTAATAAGATTGTTTTTAATGCAATCCCAAACTTTCTTATATTAGAAATTCCAAGATGAAAGTTCATAGAATACGTTACGGTCCGTTAAACGTGCGCGTCTATTGATTCCACGAGAGAAAGTGGAAAAAGTCTAAATCTCTGGCTGAAAGCAGCATAAAAGAACGTTGACTACGTTTATCTCGAGGATATAATTATTATTAATGACGAAAAGGAAATCAACGTTGACAATCAATTGAACGCGCTCGAGATGCGCAAGCGTTTTTGATTTCTCGAAGCTTTCGGCGATGACATTGATCGAAATCACGCACGGAAAACGTATTTTGCTATGCTTTCAGAAGTGCAATCGAACGCAGCCGATGGACACTGACACGAGACGATAACGCGTAAAAATTGGTCCGGCATCAAGCCGCAATGCTCGCCTTGTTCCTGTCAGTTTGAACAATCGCCACTGTAATTTCGCTCGATCGCGCTCCCGCTTTATTGCCGAATCTCTAACGCGACGAAAATTGCTCCGTCGAAATACCCGTTCGATGCCGATCTTTGTATTCAACGCGTTTCACCGACCTAACTAATGGATACCATTATTCGCTGAAACTGATTAGATTAGATTTTAAAAATAATAATCTAATAATCCGTATTTTCAATCTAAAATATCTTTAAGAAAACATACAATATAAATTTTTCAAAAATAATAATTTTCATTAAGATACATATTTTCGTTCGAAACATGATTCGTTGTGAAAATTGCAATTATGAATAATTCAAGAAATGAAAATATGAGTAAGTACTTACTTATATTGTAACAAGATAGAGGATGAATCACGAACAAACTTTAAACATGAACGTCAACAAAATCTGATCGAAACGCGGATTCTTCGATGCATTCTCCTGATGAAATGTTCACCGGTAACTGGCGGCTTCCAATAATTCGCGCAAATCGCTCGTTCTTATTCAAGACACGCGTATGCGCACGGCAGATTGATTGGCATGCCGTATTTGTTTGGGAAATGCTGCTATTTGTAGAATCCATTTGCGTCGTTCTTCAATTGCCACATTTCACGACCTTCCAACAAACTTTCGACCCTTTGTCTTTTATCCTTTCTCTTTTTTTCCTTGTTTCATGATCATTGTTTTTTTTATCCATCTTTCAAGTTTTGCATTTTTTTTCTATCAAAAATGTTCATATCTTTCACGATTATTATTTTTGATTTGTGTCATTTCTGATAAATAAACTGTAAATATTTAAAACATTAATCATAAAATTACTTATAACTTTCTATTTAAAAAATAAATATGTTAAAGATCTTTTTTGAAATTTAAAAATCATAAGATATATCATATCTTGACTATTACGAACAAAGCGCGGGAATTAATCGGAATTTTCAACTCGAATGATACTTAAGTTTCATTTTTACTTCATTCATCGCACCCAATAATGAACAATTCATTTTTTTCTTTCTATGAATTCTTATCAAAATAAAATAATTTATCTTTATCAGAATTTCGTGAAACATATTACGAGTAACTACGAAGTAACTATCCGCAGTAGATATGCGCGCGCGCGAAATCCATTTTCCAGTTGTTAAACCCCGCTAACTTGCTAATGTAACTCAAATAATTAAAGTGACGTGTACAGGCTCTACTCTGAGGTTACAGAGGCAACTCTTGGATCTAATGCGAATGGAAGATATCTATAACGCGTGAAACTAGTAAGTGAAAGAGGGAGAGAGAGTGAGATCGGGAAAGGAGGGGAAAAGGAGAGACAAAGCGAAAGAGAACGAGAATTTCAGGAATACTGGTAATAGCACTGTCAAAATAACGTATGTTTTGTAATATAATTCATAACAAACTAAATTGTTCTATCTTAGGTAAACTTCTCATTTACGTACTTCTCATTTACATATTTCTATTCTTAAATTATTGGCTTGAATTGTGAACGTTTAATAAATTAATTCAGAAATTAATCACATAAGCTTCTTCATTCTTCGTTGATTCTTTACATTATTGTATGTTCAATATCGTACATTGTAATCATATAAATAATTTTTATAAATAATTTCAGAAAAGCAAACTATTTTTAATTCATGGACAATTATATTGATTAACTTTCATTTACTTATAAAAACTAATATAATTTTTATAATAAATTAAAAGGAAATCATCGCGATAATATCTTAATATGTTGATTGTTCCGATGTTACAGGAATGTAGTTGGTAACGCCATCTGCGGAATGCACCATGCAGCATTCTTATGCGAACAATACAACTACAGGGACACGCGTAACGCAACAATGGCGACCTGAAACATTGGCGTGCGTTTCCTTGCTCCATATACTTGTGACATCTCGCCAGTGTTTACTGTATCTTTTCTTCATATTCGTGAATGTGAAATACATTCTTGCTACCGTAAAATATGTGACTAGTGAATTAGACAAACAAAAAACGAGAAATTGTGCGGAGCCAACAGTTAAAGTTAGTTAGTCGTAGGGACACAATTCAATGGTGTTGGTCTCTGCCGAAAAAACGGGAAAGCCATGTATACATACATATCCTGTAAACTATAATGTTTTGGTAAATATAGGGATTATTATTATTTCTTATACTTTATATTTATCTTGATCGCATATATTTTATATACTGTTGATAATAAATGATACAGAAGTGTGTAGGTTAGGTTGATCTGAAGAAATTGACATCGGCAGATTTTATTTTGCTCTCTTTTAAAAATATTATCTAATTTTTTTTTTTCGTTATTTCTATTATTTTTGATGCATTCTCGTTCAACGTTATTTATTAATTTATTTGAACGATAGTTAGTTAACTAGAAAATATTGAAATATTTCGTATTTACACTAGTACACAAACTTTAGTAATTTATAATTACATATATATAGATTTGAAAATTTAATAACATATAAAATAATAAATATAAAAATAATAAAGATAAATAGTAATAAAAATAAAATATATACATAATATATTTATAAACCACAAAATGTCTTAATATAATTGATATATTTATAGGGATTAAATTTTATATATGTATAAATATTCGTTTCATTACATAATGATTTTATTTTTCTATAAATTTATAAATTAAAAACTTTTTAAAATAAATAAAATAAAACAAATAAAATATATTGTATATTCTATATATAATTATTATATTTAAAGATAATTAAATATAACAAAATATAATTTTTTTTTTTAAATCTTAGTGGAAAAATAGTGAATACTTACCATCAAAATCTACTGTGGTGCTGATACGGCATGTTGAAATAAGGGAAGCGAACGAAGGAGATGAGCCACAATATTGCAGGCATGCCACCCTTTGCAAGGATGCCTTTGGGGGGTATGGGTATGGGTGTAAATATGGGTCCTAGTGCCCCACATCCTGAATCTTCTGCTCACCCTCATCCTCCACCACCACCACCTACAGGTGCCAATCCAAAAAAGAAGAGACGTACAAATGCAAATGTTGCTCAACCACCTCCGCAACAACCTCCAACAGTACAGGTAATTTTTTATTAGTTTGTATAGATAATAATCAATTTTCATTTATTTGTAATATATTTAAAATATATATATTTTTAGGATTTATTACCTCCACCTTTAACCGGTTATGGAGATACAATAGTAGCTAGTAATCCTTTTGATGATACACCACCGCAAACTACACAAACACCAATGATGCATGGTGGACCACCTCACATGCATCCTCATCACCCACATCATATGAGTGGACCACCTATGAGAGGCATGAGTCCTTTAACTTCAATAGGTGGAATGAGTCCTATGATGCCACACAATATGGGAAGTATGAGTCCAATGGGAAATTCGCCCATGACAAATCACATGAATCATATGGGAGCAATGTCTCCCATGAATCATGCACCAATTGGTGGTATGAGTCCAATGAATAATATGGGTCCAAGTATGCCACCTGGCCCAATGAATACTATGAACAATCATATGAATATGAGTCACATGAGTAATTCTCAACTTAGTGGTCCACCCATGGGTAGTCCAATGAATAATATGAACAGTGGACCAATGGGTAGTCCAATGAATAACATGGGACATAGTATGGGAAGTCCTATGGGTGGTCCATTAGGATCTCCTATGAATACAATGGGAGGATCGAATCATATGCCTAATGGACCAATGAATATGAATAATATTAATAGCCATATACCGCCCAATAGCCCTCTAAATGGACCATCTATGAACAGCGTAAATAGTCCATTGGGACATAACGGATCTCAAACACATCCAAATCATATGGGTAATAATCTTAATAATTTAGGAAGACCGATGAATGGACCTATGACTACCATAAGTTCAATGGTATCCAACAATTTGAATATGAGTGGTCCAAATCAAATAAATAATATGAATATGGGTGGACCACCAATGAATAATATGTCTAACATGAGTATTAATCATCATAATCAAATGAGTCATATGGGTGGTCCAATGGGTACAATGTCTAGTAATATAGGAGGTGGTCCGCCAATGGGTCATCCTATTAATATGGGAGGTTCGATACCACCTCATGGTTTTCAAGGTCCACCGGGAATGGGACCAAAACCAATGCCAGTTTCTGCAGGGAAGGTAAATTATTTTCTTCGTTTTGCGAAGATTTGTTACATTTCAATAAGTGATTTATTATTCTAAGTATGTTTATTATTTTAATATTACAGATATATCCTCCAGATCAGCCAATGGTATTTAATCCACAAAATCCTAATGCTCCACCCATTTATCCTTGTGGAGTGTGTCATAAAGAAGTACATGATAACGATCAAGCAATTCTTTGTGAATCAGGTTGCAATTTTTGGTTTCACAGGTATATAAAAAATTATATTCTCCTTTTTATTTAATATCATATGAATTTATATATATCTAATATAATAATAAAAATTTATTGTAGAGGATGCACAGGATTATCGGAAACTGCCTATCAATTATTAACCGCAGAAGTTTATGCAGAATGGGTGTGTGACAAGTGCTTACAATCGAAAAATATACCTTTGGTTAAATTTAAACCATAACACTTCTTAACTCGTCGTATATGCGACATACGAGTGACTCTTTGTTAGCGTTTACACCTTGTACACGCACACATGCGCGTGCAATTGCACACAGATAAACACATACGGTATACATTAATGCATGAGCGAAATCATGCATATAATATAAACATACGCTGTTTGTTAATATCTTAGCTTTAACTTGTTGAAACATTAGGGTATCACTATGAGTCATATTGGTGAATGAGATGGCAAAAACGACATATAGTATGTTCGAAAGTTGCATTACTTTTTAAGTATGTTTATGACAAGTAGATTCATCTGTTTAAAAAGTTATTTATCATTTAATTTTTAATGTTACATGTCTATTTTCAATCGTCCTAATCATAAATATATATAAAATGAATGTAGAAAACATATTAATTTAAACAAAAAATTTTGTTAAATATTATATAATCGATGATGAATTATTCAATTTCAAATTATATTTAATTCAAAATTAAAAAATAATTATACAGATTTTTTTACACACAACTAAGTTGGGTTATATGAAATAGAAATAAAATTAATTAAAATTGATTTGATTAAAAGAAATAAATGATGTTTTATATAATGATGATATCATATTTATATGTTACTATTATATAACGTCATTTAATTTTTTCTTCTAAAATCTTTTCTATTTCTATTTTAAAGATGTGTAATAGTTCCGCTCAGTTGTGCAAAATATTTCTGTATGCATATAAAAAATAAGAAAATATTCATATACATATTTTATGGACGATGAAATTTTACTGGAATTTTATATTAATAAGAAATTGAACAAATACATACTTTGTTTATTTTATTTAGGTTTGGGTGAACGTTCCTGATAAACTGTAATTGTTATTCAAAAGTAATTAACAGTACATATTAACTTTATTAATAATTTCTAGTTATGTCATTGTCATTTATCATCAGGCTCGTTACGTTGATTAAGAAAATCCAAAGGATAAAAGTGGTACTTTTATAAAAAGTGAAATTTGCACACTTAACGATTGTTTAAGAACAAAATAATACAAATTCCAAACAATGTAAATTTTTCTAATTAATGCGATTATAAATATTCATATCTATCTTCGAATATCAGAACATCAGAGAATTCCTAAATCCATTTTTTTGCATAATTAAAATATCATCGAAGTATTTTGAGTTTTTAAAGGATTTGACTAAAATATTAATATATAAATATTAATATATAAATAATATTGACTAGAATATCGATACAATTAAATATATGCAATAATTACTTTTAAAGATACTATCTCAAAATTGTTTTTTGTTTTTAAATATTACAAATGAAAATAAGATTCTTGTATTTTTATATTGCAAATATTTTAGTATAAACCATGGTTAGTTATTTTCGAAATATATTAGAGTTAAAGTTTAAAATATACTCAAAATGTAAATAGAATCAATACTAATGGAAAATTTTAATATTATACATAAGAAGAAATATTTATATATTTTTACAATAATCAATTAAAGATCTTTTTTCTATTATCATTTACGTGAGTAATAAGAAAAAAAAAGTAAAGTTTTTTTAATCAAAATTAAATTATTATTTTTTACCATGGTTTATACAGAAGATTAATTTAACAAATATAAGTAACAAATTTTTTATTTTTATATATAATTCTTCATATATTTTGAAAAAAAAACGACAGAAATTCAAATTGGCTTCTTATATTTTCTTTGCATCATATTTAAAATAATATAATATACAAAAAGATTATATTTATTCATGCAAAAACATAAATTTTAAAATCATAAGAATCATTGATATTAATAAAAAGTAATTTGTATAAAGAAATATTGAGAAGATAAAAGAATCGAATTATTGTTATAAGAAAAGTATCTAAAATATATAGTTCATTTATATGTTCAACAAATCTGTCTTTTTTTGATGCAATTATAATTTAATAGCTATATCCCGCAAATATGAATTAAACTCAAGATACTTCGTATATATGTCAAATAAAATCGTACATTTAGTTGCAATAATAAAATTTGTGCACATATTCACACTAATACACACATATTACATTCACGCTCTTCTTCAAGTTAAGATTTATTGTTACATTTGCCACAGACTTTTGATGTCAGTATATTCAGAAAGAACTGAGTATTATATCGACGTGAATGATTAAGTGAAATGCAGTGAAAAAAAAAAAAAAAAGAATTGAATTCCGTCGGCAGCTAACCCAAAATTAAGTCTACGGATTGTATAGTTATATACATATATATATATATATATATACGTATACATACATATATGTATGTATAAATATATATACACATACACACACAAATATATATAAATATAGCTAATTATCATTTTACTGTTTGATGCCTGTATTATACGGAGGACTGATTTTGAAAATTTTAAAAATATCAGATTGAATGGTTTCTCTAATACCCACAAATTCTAATAAATTTTAATAATTATTCTTTTATTCAGTTTTCAAGTTTACTCTCCGTGTAATCCACGCTTTAATCTCGTTTTATTGTAATCCTTTCTAACAAATATTATACACGAGTAACGTACACAGGATCCTATAACTACATAATGCTCATATTAGTATTACAACGAATAGAATACCATCTTCACATATCTTCATTCTATATTTTGTCATGTCGTGGAGGCCGAAGGGTCGTGGTCACGCTAAAAATCGTTAACGTTGCTTTTTTTCTCTATTATGAAAAATTATATATGGGAATGCAGGGGATTAAGCGAATAACGAGAGAAAAAAATGTTACTCAACGTGGGACGGGGAAACGGTGTGTAACCGGAAATGATACTAGATAATTGGAGGATCAAGGATAATGATTTTCTAGTACAAACGAATAAATCGTAATTTAAGTAACTACTAGTAGTGTCTATTTTCCAGAGATAATTTATATAAGTTATATCGTTTGCGAACGAAACCGTTATACGATCGTTATACGATCATCAAATACGATGCACGCCTAAAACATTATGTCTAAATGAAAAGAAAGAATCTTTGACTTATATTTAACGGTAGCTTAATCCCTGTATAATTTGTTAAAAACAAATGCATTTCATATGTGTCTGAATGTTTGTCTCATTATATTACCTTTAAATTTGATCACCATAACCTTGTTTTTCAGCCTTTTATTCTAAAGAAAAAAAAACAAAAACAAAAATAGAATATTCTCCCGAAGTTCTAAGCGTAACGATCTAGAGATCAAAAATTTCATGAAAATGTATATTTATCACACGATACAATATTAGATAAGTGTCTGAATATACATATATAAATAATATTCGATTTTTTTATCATCTTTAAAATATTTGTAGAATTTTGGCGAATGTTTTTCCATTCGTTTGTGTACATAGGTCATTTACATTCTTTCATCAAAGGCAAACACAATAATGAAAAAACGATACAAAATGAACGTATCAATTATGCGTGCCTCCAATTTATTGTATCAAATTTGTAAATACTTTCTGTATCGTGTTAAGAAATCAAAAATACGTTGAATGCGTGTCGCGTCATTTATTTTTGCCTAGACGCATAAAAAAGCGATAGAAAAAAATAATATTTTTTATTCCTTTCTTAGACAATTATTGTACATTTAAATTAACAATTTGAATATGATTTGATATACGAGAAAAATTTCAGCGTTTCGAGACACGCAATTTAAATGCAATACTTCAATTATTATTATTGTTAATACGATTAATATTATTTACTATTTTATCATTTTTGTATCATTACTATGTTCGAGATCAATATTTATCACTAATAATTGAATTTTTATTCATTATTCATTTTAACGTTTTTGTATATTAAATAAGCATTTAAGAAATGTATCATAATGAATCGGTTGTTGATTTTCAACGTGAAATTTTTTTATTATGGGAAACAAATTGAAAACGGAAAATAATTTAAAAAAGAACTTTTTTTTTTTGTTTTAAACGTAAGATATATAAATAGCAAATAATAGACAAAGAAATATGACCGTATTATTATGATCGAAAGGTATACGTAATAAACTTTTTCATAAATGATTTTTTTTCATGTAAATGTTGACATACATATATAGATACATGTATATATAAATATATAAGTATATAGCTATATATGCGTATATTTGTATATATACATAGTATATGTCAACAATAAAAATTATATTGTAGATACATATTACATGTATATATATATATATATATATATATTATTATTATTATTACTATAAAAGCGTGTGGTTATATTCTCGATTATCTGAAACGTGTATATATTTATATGGCATTTTAAATAACAAATCCATATATCATGTTGATTTTTACATTATTATATTTGTATATATATATATGTATGTGTGTCTTGTGAAACGTTATCCGTTCATTTAAAAACACAAGTAGTTCAAAGTGATAGTTTATTTTCTTAATTTAATATATCAAAATGTTTGATCTTATTATTTATAATAATTGAGTATTTTTCCTTTTTTTTTTCTTTTAATGAAATTTTAAAAAAAGTAGTACAATTTAATATTATAAATTAACGGAATTGTTAGAAATTACTTAAAATAGCAATCATGAAATACAATTGTGTCCAAATGTGTATTCGATTCACATTATGTCTCTCTCGTAAGAATGTTCATTAAATCATAACGCGTACTTATGAAAATTTAAGATAGAACTTTTGTCGTTTTTCGAGTGTATGAAGGCGTACAATATTCGATAAAGTACGAGCAACGTGAGCTTTCGTAATTCTACAGTTTCGATCTTTCGAATTCATATCATTTATCCAAAATTTCTTTGGTATGTTTGGTCGAATATAAACCGGTTTTTCGTTACAAATTACCTTGAAATCTGTAAATCGAACAAATTGTTTTTGTATTCGTTTTTCCAGAATTCAAACGTATACCTCACCTCGCATATAAAAATTTTTTGTTTTTTAAGTTCATGAATGCAAAATTATCGTCCATCACTTTACCCTAGAGAAAATAAACAAGACACATTTACATAAGAATTAAAATAAGAAACAATTAAATTTCATGGAACATTATCTACTTTACTTGCTTTCAGGCAAAATTGCGATGATTGATTTATCCATGGTTCATATCTTGTCTCTATTGCAGAAGAGTGAATGTGACATTTGTGTCTACAAATAGATGCACTTCTGCTTATGTTATCTGTATATCCAAGTCTTCCGTACAACCCATATTTTTTCTCGTCGATAGCTCGTAATGTACCGTTCTTCTTCATTGCCATATATATTTGCTCCAACATTCCATAACTCTTAATCAAGAAATCCCGTTGTGCTAATGATGTAACACGTTCTCTTTCCTCAGATTCACAAATAATCTCTGGCTCGAACGAATGTGAAATATTATTTGAAGCCGTCTGCTTCTTTATCTACAATATCGTTTTTAGATAAAATTCAGGCTCATTTTTTACAACGATTTGTTATTTTCAAACACTGACATGTAAACAAGAATTATTTTTTTTCGATATATTCACAGATTTACTCTTCTCCTGATCATTTGTTATTGTATTCTTCTGTGTCGCGTTTGGACTCTCTGAATGTAACTTCGAATCACTGCATTTACCAGAAATCTTCTTATTTTCTTGTTCCTTCATTTTCACCTATCAATCGAATGAGAATTTCTTGTAAATCAATGATGAATCCGTTCATCAAATAAATTTTGTGAAAATGAAGAAACACCTCATTTTCTTCCTTTTGGATCCTCGATGCTTCCTCTCGAGCTCTAGATGCCGCAGTATCTTGATATACGGATATGTTAGTTTGCTTAAAAAATGGTTCGTATTTTTCACAGTCGGAACATGGATAGATCCTACGGAAATTGCCCATATGTTCTTCCTCCCATTTAAATTGCTTTTGGAGATAATCTTCCTCCAACTTTTCAGGTTTCGATGTCGTACCGATCGAATCGTTCGTACTACGTGAAATCGTTGAAACGATCATTTCGTTCACAACAGCTATTAAATTTAAATATTTAATCATTAACTCACTTGCTATCCTTAGAATTTATTCCCTGAAGCAGCCTATCCCTAACTCGCTTTCTATCTTCTTCGATAATTTTTTTCTTGTCGCATTGTTGAAAATTCAGCATTTCAAATGTATTCATCAAGAGACCCTCCTTTATATCCTTATCAATTTGTGCATCTGTATGAAAACTCGGCGAATGATTAACCTATAACATATTTATTTCCCCTTTCCCTAATAAATATACTTTGCTTACGTGTACATACATGTATGCATACATATGTATATATATACATATATTTTTTTTAGTGTACTATCGTTACCTCTAAGAGATATGGTTTTAGTTTCCAATCGAGTAACACATCGAAACCGAGTAACTCGAAACACGCGTATGTTTTATCGTGTGTAGGAAAACACGTATGATAACTATGTTTCAAAATAGGATATGCCGCCAAAATGGTTTTTATAATGATCTCGTCGATTTTACGCCACATTTCATCCACATCGATGTCTTTCATTTTAAACCACTTATTCAAAGTTGATATTTTCCTATATTCAAAAGATTTCCGGTCATTTTGAAGAAAGTAAACAACAAAATATCGTTTAAAAAAACTAACCTTTTGCTACCAATTTCGTCGTCGATTACATACATTCGACTATGTTTATTCACGGCATAATTAGTCAAGTGCATAAAAACGTTGGATGTGTTGTGACCGGTGGGTTCCTTATATCTACTCGTGGCAAATCTGAAATGAAATATATTTAAAAGTTACAACAAGAAAGGACGTAAATTGATGCGATTGTTACCTCGCAAGACCATCATTGTACACATAAATTCTAAGAGGATCGCAGGAGGTGAGCAATGCATAGATACGAAGATCGAATTTGTAACCGTCTACCAGGAAGGGCTACAGATAGGAATGATCTTCATTAAAAGAAAAGTATAAACAAACTGTTAAATTGAAAATACTCGCATACCCTGGCCACGTAAACTTGACAAATCATGCGCTCGCTCGGTTTAACATCTCTCAAGTTTTTTGTCAAGTAAATGCCACGTCCTTGACACCCTGTATCAGGTTTAATGATGAAAGTTTTCGAGCGTCTTAATTTCGCATAGGCTATCGCTTCTCCGTGGCTAAACATTTTGATCGACGGATAATGCAAACATTCTTCTTCGTGTCAACAACAAATAAATAAGGTTAAGTTTTGAAAAAGAAGATAACGTTCTTACTCTGCGGGAAAACACCATGTCTTGGGGAAAAAGTTATAATCTTTTGGAAAAAGCTTCAACATGCGATTCAAGTTTCGAGCTAATAAATCCTTTCTACAGATTTCCGTCATTCCGGGGAAATGATTAACCTTTTGATATCTCTTCATATCTTTCGCCCGTTCCACGCTCACGCTCAAATCTGTCCAGTAAAGATTCCAACTGCTATCCTCGGTAACTTCTTTCATTCCAAAACGAGCTGCTACTCGTCTCACCGCGTCGTATTTACAATTACTCGTACATATCGTCAAATATCTTTAATAATAAATACGAGACTAATAAATACGAGAGAACAAAAGGAAATAATATTATTTGTGATTTCTTTATAAACAAAATCGTACCTTCGTTTCTTCTTTTTCTTCTTGATCGAAATTCCTTCCTTTCTTGACTCGACATCGTCGGTATCCACAAATGACAAATCACCTATAAAATTTTACATAACAGAGACTACGTGATACAAACATTATTTATTATCGAGATTAAATACCTTTCTCATCTTTTTTATCCGTTAAACATTTGGGTATAATTGGTTTTCGATCATTTTTATTCGAATCGGTAAATGAAATAATATTTAATGAAGTATCAGATACAACTACGAGTTTTTTGCATCGATTTCTGTATACAGTTTTACATGATCGCACTTCGGTACTTGAATCCGATTCACACGTGATCTCGCCACTCTTTTTTATATCACCAGTTTCGTTCTCGCGCACCACCATCAAAGGACGTTTGTTGTTGCGTTCGATGACGTTCATGACCGGTGTATCTCATTATTTTAAACGATCTCTCGTTGCATGGTATTAATTTGATTACAAATCAAATCAGATCTGCATTATACAAATACGTGGCTTCGTCAATTTTATTTCGAATGCGAAATCGACTACTTAGATAAAGATTAAACTATAATAATATCCTTGGTGAAAAAGATGATTCGACTATGATCAATTTATTGGCGTACGAGAAACCGAAATTCGGTTCCATTTACAGAAATGCCCCTCCCAAAATCTGTTTTACATATCGTTCCTCGCCTCAATTGTTTTTCCATTTCTCGAGGCAAGAAGACAGACTCGACGGAAATTTGATTTTATCCGAATCTCGACTCGTATTCTAATTTCGATTCAGTGTAAAATTAATCTGAAAGTTTTTAAGCAAATATCCGTGCGACGACGCAGGTTAATCAATGCTACTGCGGTTCAGTTCACGCAAAACTTAGCTCGAGAATTGCTTCATTACTTTAATTACGGCGCAATATAACTGCATAGAATTCGTATACTAATAAAAAGAAGTCATATATTTGTATATATATACGAAACGAATAGGTCAATCACAAATAAAATTTCGTTGTACGATAAAAACATATAAAAAAAACCATATTCGATAAAAAAATTTTGTTATTCTCTATTGCTTATCTTTCTTTAAGATTTTTACAGATTCGATTTCAACCTTGTCATATCCTTTATAATCTTCACAATATTTAAAGCACATCCCCAACTTAACGTCACGCCGCTTCCTCCGTGTCCATAATTATGAATTATCTGTAAATGAATTAAATGAATTTCAATTAATCGAAAACTTTACAATCGATATTCGTACAAGTTTCGATACCGTAACTTGTCTCCCGTTGGAAGAACGGCAAACTTCAGTCTCGATGCGAACTTCGTATCTTCCAGGTCTAAGACCAGCCCAATTTTTTGTTATTTTCGCATTCTTTGAATAATACAAATATCATTATTATATAACTAATTATTATTATTGCATTGTTAGTTTAAAAATAAAAATTTAATCAAAGCTATACCTTTAGAGCGGGCAAAATTCGACAACAACCATTGTGAATAAATTCGAAATCCTCTTTCCGCGGAGTGCAATCCAAATCATTTTCTTGATGCGTACCGCCCAATACCACGTTATCGATACTTTCAAAAAGACATATAAAAAAAAAAATAATAAATTAATAAAAAGTACAACGTAAATAAATAGAAAATGATTTTTAATATTCAAGATTCATTCATGATTCGTTTACTTTGGTATTATGTAATTTCCATGCTCGTCTTCTTCCAAATATCCGTGCATTATCCAGGATGCTGTCACCTTAAATGATAAGATTTATTTGACAAATTTTAACACCGCGGTAACACGCTCACTGTAAAACGCTACCAACCCTAGCAACTTGACCTCTGATAGATATAACCGCATTATCACCCACGAGTTCACGTGCACCAAAGCCGCTGCAATTTATTATCAAATCGTATCCATCATCGATCAATTCGCATAGCGTATGTATTTTTCTTTTTCGAACTTCTCCGCCCGCTTCGAGAAATCGTTTCGTTAACCAAGGCAACATACGAATAGGTTCGCAAGTATACGTCAAGAACATCCACGCATGTCTATAAATTGATAACTCGAATCAGTCGTTTACCATAACGAATAAAATATTAAACAAATTAATTTCATTAACACTGTACTTATAATTGGCATTGCATTCGGTATTCAACTCTTTCAATTCGTTCGAATTTAGCTTGTGCGCACCGTATACCAATTTGGTCCAACTCAAATCGGGAAATCCATCAGGATTATTGGTAACGCGATATATCGGTAGCAAGGAAAGCCCGATATCAGATGCTAAGCCCGCTTTCCAAAATTTTTCCAACAATCGATGCGTAATTCCAGCCCATTGTCTGCCAGTAGTACAGTCCGTAATTATATGAAATTAAATTAATCTTAAACTCTAATAATATTTTCTCCTTCGATTTTAAACTCGAACTCGTGTTATTTTCACACAACGTGTTCTAAGTACTTACGTGTACGTACTTCGTTGTTCGAACTATACGTGAATTATCTGACGTCAGAGATATGTGTCAAATACTTACGATATTTTATTGTAAGGAGTGATCCCGAGAAGATAAGGAGTCCAAAGACCGGCGCTTCCTTCGCCAGTGGTATTCGGTGACAATTTATCCGCAAATATATGCACTTCGAATTGTGGAAAAACGCTTTTCACCGCAAACGCACTTGTTACGCCGATCACACCGGCGCCTACCACTGCCACCCGCATATTTTGAAGATAAATCTAATTAACGCGGCGGATATCAAAGCGCAACTGCATCGAAACAACGTTCGTTTAAAATATAAATATAAAAAATATAAATCGAATCACTTAAACGATATGATATCTTTGTATTCATAAGTCGAGATATTTACTTGTTGTTCGACACTCAAAACGTTTTTTTCAAGATAAATTAAAAAAAAAAAATCGATTAATTATCCACGCAAATTAACGACATTAAAAATAATCTCGTGCATGAAACTCGGCTATTGTATTAAATTTTTTTTATCCCCCCTTAAAGTTAAATGACATGTTAGAATACAAAAGTGAGTGTTGTTGTTACGCCCGAAAAATTGTACGATTTTTTTTTTTATATATATCGAAGATTACAATGAACTTACGATACCACATATTCTTAGCATAATGCCCCTGCACGGCTCGGCAATATTATGCTAGAATATGGGAATCGCGGAAGTCAGCGCGCGAAAAAACTGTATGGTAGTTGTGAAAAAAAAATTACCATGTCGAAGTCCAAGCGATGTTCGTTTCGCGCCGCACCAACGATAAACGGAGCATAATACTTTAAATTTCGCGTCTCAAAGGTCTTATACTCTGCTTACCGATAGCACGACACACAATTTTTCGTTTTCACAGATACAAATGTTTTGCTCTCTCGTATATCCCTCGAAGTCGAAGAAACACCGAAGCGAACTTATTTACCTTTTATAATAAGAGAAGAAGAATCACGTGACATTCGATCAATTATTTTCTCGTAAAAAAGAAAATTTTTTGAAGTGGACGTTTTGACGTACGTTCCATCGACTAAACCCCGTACGCTTATCCACTACCTCCCACAAGACGGCTAACCGAAGTGCCTGATGACAGTTCATGGTACGGAGTATTTGTTTACATCACATATGAATACCCTAGACATAATATAGCCCGGAAATGCGATAAAGGGTGTAAATGATAGGATAGAAGGCAACGCATTAGAAGCCAGAACTGTTTCTCGTTATATGTTCCTTCCTTTATTCACGCTTATACCCTTTACTAATTCGAGAAATTAATCAACAATGTTATCCGAAAAACTTATAAATGTATATATTATGTCATGTTTATACGCGACTTTATACAACATTTACATCTACTCTATCCTCTTTCGATGCAAGTTTTTTTCTCTCTTAAATATGTTCTTTTTAAAACTAAAACTTATTGAAACTTTCATGAAATTTTCACAAAAGATTTTATTACAATTAACGTTAAACTAAATGTCGTAATTATGACATGCAACTTATCTTAAAAAATTGGCGATTGTGATTCAAAAATACACAATTTTATGAACGTTGCTTGTTCCAACGCGAGCGTGATGATAATAAGATGGAAATTTAATTGATTTTGCTGAATTAATAAAATATGTATGTGCTATTGCAAAACACCTGACTCGTTCACCAAGATCGTTACCAGGGTGGCCGAGGATTTTTCTTGACTGCGTTTGCGATGCGTTCGATGGGTTCGGATAACGGACACCTAAGCGTCTGTTATCCGAGAAGATTATCGACACGATGCGTTAATATTACATCGTACTTTGCGTACCAATGTTCGCTCGAAGCTTAAAAATAACTTAACCATTGATATGATTCTTATGATTAAAATGAAAAGAAATGATAAATTATAGAAGAATGTTCATTAAAGTTAAGAAATGATTTATTAAAAAAAGCAATGCAAAAATAAATAAAGTTAAAAACTGATGATAAAAAGAAAAATTGAAGGGAAACATTTACTCATTACTTGCATGCAGAAACATTATGATTGAATGGAATGTTTGATAAAAGGAATAAAAATAATTTATGTTTGCATTTAAAAACAAAATATCGATAATATTTGAATTCATATATTATATTTGAAATCCGTTACCTTTTATAATCATAGATTTTCCATAGATATAAGCAGATTACATAAAAATGTTCAGGTTATAAATAAAATAATAAGAATTACATTAATTTCATGTACACACATAAAATATACATTTTTGTTTAACGTTGTTAAATTTATATTACAATTTTCATATAATATAATGAAATTTCACACTCTTCTTATAATATATGATTTATTTAGAATCATGTAATTAATTATGAATGTTAAGAAATTTAATAAGAAATTTTTTTATTCGATATATTTTTATAATTTACAATTTAATGTGATTTTAATATGGTTTCAAAAAACTGAATAATAAACTTATCTAACATCTAAATAAGTCGTATAAATTCTGCATATCTAATTATCAATATTTTCAAAATTATTAAAGTCTTTTGAAATATATGTATATTGTTTTTTTTTTATATATATTTAATTAAGAAATTAAAATAAATATTACTATTTTTATAATATGGAAATAGTATGATGTACCAATAATAAATTAGATTTACGCATATATAATAATATTGTTACAAATTATTATGAATTATTATGAATACATAGAAATATAATAAGTACACTGGTGTTTTCTCTTTGTATGTAAATTTGTCGGAAAATAATATGAAACTTTGCCATTTTCATTATAGCAATATTATAAAAACATAGAATATAAGATTTTTTAAAAAATGTATACACTACTATATAAAATTGGTTCATCTCGATTTTTGTAATGCATATCTTATTGAACATAACGCATTATAATCTATCTTTTTTTATAATAATTTTTATAATAATTTTAATAATCAACATTATTTATGAATAAAACAATGTAATTGTAATAGTCTACATTAATAATAATTTTCAATAAAAGAAAAGTAAATTTAAAGAAACAAATTATAACTTGGACTTGATATATTTATATGTATATGTGTATATATACATATATATGTATATATATATATATATATATATATATATATATATATATAAAATATGTATATATATAAATATATATATCTTTAAAAAAAATTTTAACGTTCATTGAATAAAAATTAGTTTTTTAAAAACCGATTATATACTTTTTAGAATTGATAGAAGACTCTTCTCTAAAGACAAAATATTTATCACAGATAGAGTTGAAGTTATCAATAAAATCGCAATAAAATAAGATAATACAATGATATGAGAATTGACATTATTTTTTATTAATTCGATCAATATTATATATTACTGGGTTATAATTTTTACTTGATAATATCAAATTATTTCTTATCTTAAATAAAAATTATATAAAAGATTATATATTAAACTTAATAACTTTTATTGCGACTTTATGCCGTATTTTAAATATGAATATAACATTTTTTAGCAATTTGTAACTGATAGATCCATTATTTTATAAACTTACTATATAATCAAAGGTTATATAAATCGATTTGTGTGATGTATTTTACTAGAGTGAGTTAATTATATAATATATTATCAATCAATATTTTGCTATCTTATCATTTGTCTAAATTTATCCAATTCAAAGATACTTTCTGACAATCTGCAAAATTTTTAAATAATTAATTATATTATCGATTAATAATTTTTCTCATCATATATTTTACAAAAATAAATTAAATATAACAATTAAAATTATTAATTTTTTTAATGCTTACCTTCCAAAAGCATTTATAAGTGCAACAATTTCACTTCTTTCTAAAAAAAATTTCCTTTTATTAAAATTATTTAAAGTTGATTCCCATCTATCAAACTTTCCTGAGAAGAGAATTTTTAATGCTGTACCCAAACCATGTATTTGAAGTTTTCCCCATAATTTACATTTATCGCAACCTACACAATCCATAATACGAGAAATATTTCTAAAATGTTGCTTAAATTGGTCTTTTAATAACTGGGCTTCAGATCCGCCAGTAAACATAATGCTTTCATTGAAATGATCGGGAAATGATCTAAAATATATCTGTATTAGATATACAATTTATAAACATTTTATTTATTAGTTATAAAATTAATCTTACTTAATAATATTTAAAATATCATTTATTGCCAAACGAGTATCTTTATCTTGTGCTTTATTACCAGTATAATATTCTTCCCTTTCTAAATATGGTGCAGCTTTAGCCAAAGCTCTTAACTCTAATAAATAAGTAAAATATAAATTTTTTAACCAATTTGGACCTTCACTTCCTGTTTCCTCTGGTGAAAATCTTTTCTGAAATTCTTGTAAATTAGGACCCCATTGGCCACCAGGTACTATTCCTAAATTGTCTTTTGATGATAATAAATATTTTGAACACAAATGTATATTAATACTAGCATGAAGTCCTGATATAACACGATAAAAAGCTCTTTTTTCCAAACACATTCCTGCAATAATAGATTAAAATAAATTTATAATATAATATCCATGATAAGAAATATATTATTAATTTAAATTACATACCATTTATTTTTGAAGACTGAATAAAATTATGTGGTGAATTTTCAGGTCTGTAATTAAACATATATGTAAAACAAAATATATATTTCACAATATATTATTCATTCATTTTATTTTCAATCATTGAAAAGAATACATACCTAAAACAATTTTCCATATAAATATTTTTCCATATTCTATGTGCACTAGGACCTTTATAACCTGTATATCTTTCAGGATTTAATAAAAGATCTACATATTCTCCAGGACTTGACTCTTTTACACAAAAATTATCTTGAGCATCATCATATTGTTGCCATAATTCAAAATCTTTGTAGTTCTCTGAACTAAACAAAATATATATACATATAAAAATAAATTTGAAATTATATTAAATATTATATATTTATTTATAGATTTGTTAGAAATCTATAAATTTTCTTTACCTAATTGTTGTATTTAAATAACCAAGTTCTTTATTATGATCTTTCGCACTATATAAACAATCATCATACTGTGCTCTAATTTTGTATTTATCCATAGGATTTTCATTAAAATGAATATTTCTCAATGTATCTCCTTTTAAACCATCTGGAATATCTTCCTACAATCATACAAAGATACATATATATAAATTTTAACAGTTTAAATTAATAATGTTACATTATAAATATATATTAATCATACTCATTATATATCATTATATAATGCAATATTATATTTTCAAGTAATAGTTAAAAAACTCAAATTAACATATTACTTACATCTTGACAAGGTTGTACATGACAATATCTTATAGCACATTTACTATCATCAGTCCAAAAAGGACATTCATGGTTTAAATTTACTTTATAAAAACGAAAATAATCTTTGACTAGAAGACTCTGAACTCTTGGGTAAATTTTCATATTATTAAAATAATCCACTGTATCCACATTGCAACTACAATCATCTATTGACCCTTTCAACTAAATTTTTATAAATATATTTTAATTTATTTAAAAATATAAAAACAATATTAAATTACATGTTAATGTACATTTTGCATACAAATAGTTAATAATGACAGATGTCATATTCTTGTAGGTTATGTATATTTTTTATGAAAAAATTTG